ATTGTTGTGTTTGTGAGAGTGTGAGTGTGTGTGTGTGCGCGTGTGACTGTACCAGACCTGGTAGTGAGAGGTGTGAAAAGTTGAGAAAAGGAGGCTTCCACTCGATCAGCAACAGTTATTTGGCACATTTAACATCTATTAAGTAACACATCGGGATAAAAAGGTGCAACAACAGAAATTTCAATAAAAACCATTTTGGTTTACAAAAATAAAAGACACCTGGAGAGGTGACACATTTTCTCTCTAAGACTATAACATCTGCCCCTGACTGGTAAAGGCTCCAAAGAAAAAGAATCACAGAGCACCCTAAACAAACCCTTTTTCCAACTCAAGTCACACATCACAGCTCTGGAAATGCATGGACATCACAGATGAAGACACTGTACTGGATGGAAAAGAAAACCCCTGAAGTAAACCGCTTTCTCTCCTCTGCTGCACACTACTCTGGACTGCCACTGCCTTCGCCTTGAACCCTGGTGAGGTTCCCCACCAAACTGTAAAAAGTCCAATAATTTAGACAAACCCATACACCTCATCTGAACTGTGTCACATTCAGGAAAAAACTCATAACACAGTGAGAAGACAGACGAAAAGTCCACCCTGAAACACTGCAGTAGGTCCGCAGACAATACTCGTGGACATAGCTTTCTTTAAGCTCAGCTATGGTCCTACTTGAGGAACGTAGACAGATGGCAGTGAGGGGGATCAGAACACTGTACTGGCTACAGACTGAGCATATATTTAAAGAGCAGTGAATTGGCTCACTTGTTGTGCTCATCCTCTGACGTGATGGATCTGATGTAGTGCAGCAGCTCTCTGACAGCAGACACATTTGGCCCAAATCCGGGCTGCTTCTAGGACTAAGGGCTCAGTCACAGCACCGGCGGTGGCTGTGCGGCCCAGCTGTGGGCAAAATGCCACGAGCCAGGCTGGCCATGAGCAGAGTTTTGACCAAAGGCCATGACAAACTTCACATCGGGCCCACCTGTAGCTGAGACTGAATGTGAGAAAACTGAGGGCCGCCGCACTTCGGCTAAGTGTTCAGTGCAGTCCAGACTGAGCCTGTAGACTCATCATCGTGTGGAGTTTCTCAAAGACAAATGCGTTTGCATTCCCTGGGTGTAACCTCAACATGAGGCCTGGTGGTAAATCTGACAGGAGCCTGCTCAGGCTCAGAGCAGGCTCAGTACTTTACTGCACATCTAAAGAAAATAAGTCACAGATCATTCTGTTCTCGTTTATTCTGAACCTGCATTTATCTGCTCTCTGGAGAAATGTAGGCTAACACCAACTGGATAAAATGTGAACATTTCAACCACTTAAAAACCAAAAAAAGAAGAAGAAGAAAAAAAAAAAAAGAGCCTGAAATAGCATGAACATGAAAGCTCATATAGAAGATCTATGCATCTAACTGGGGTATTTGAGGGTGGATTTTTCCTTTAATCAGCTTCAGCTTATTGTCTTCATCCTCCTCCCTACACACAGTCTGCCCACAACAGCTGACTGCTCCAAGCTGTTGCCCTGCATGGACAATGTGTGAGCGGGAACAGACTGCTGATTCTTGTGCTTTGCCTGGGAACAGGTTCTTACATTCTGATGTACTCATACTGGCACAGTCCAACTGAGGTAATGCAGCTCTGTAGCTCTTTCAGAGCCCTTCTCTTGCCACCTCTGAAAGACCCCACACCAACAAAATCCTGTAAAGGCAGACAGAGGAGTTGCGATAAAGCTAACACACTGAAGTAAAACAGCGGTGCGCAGACAAAAGGGTGCTTATATTGTCTTTATAGTCCTTGCCTCCCTCCTGCTCCTCTATAGTTACAGTGTTGTCCATGGTTACCAGTACATGTACACCAATCTTCATGGCTACCATAGCAACCAGCTGCTGTTTGTCAGCCAATGGAATCTCAGTCTCTGTGGTGACTAGAGCCAATGTGAAGCTTCCTGTACCTGCGCTGGAATGATCAACAGCCTTCCACACATACACTGTGAGGGTCCGGGAGGTTGGGATGGCGCGCCATCTGCCAGCAGAGCGGATCCTCCTGGGCGCTCAGGTGACTCAAGTAAAATATTAACGTTGGCACTTTTTGCACTTCAGTAACAGTGGGAGGAATGTTTCAGAGGGATGGATGAGGACAACCAGCCTTTGTTTTCTACATTCTGTGGTAGCCTGGTCTCTTCTGGACCTGAGCATCAGCTCTGTGGAGGAGTCCATCAGGCTGCTGAGAGCACACAGAGTGGGAGGACACTTCCTGATTAATGTGATTTCAACAGCGAGGTGTGTGGTGTGGGAGGTGGTTGAGGAGGGGCAAACAGAGAGAGGAGCAGCCGTTAGTCCTTGTGAAGTTCATGCGGGGATTCTTCAAATGTCCAATGGTTCAAAATCCTTTCTTCCTCTTACTGACTGGCAGGGTCCCAGAAC